TCCATCCACATGCAGTGTCAGCCTCGTGAACTTTCTCAGGACTGCCTTCAATGCCACTCTATCTTTCGATAAGAGGACCAAACTGTTCTGTGTTTTCCAGCTGTGATCTAACCTGTGGCCTTGTATAGATTTAGACAAACCTCTCTACTTTTATACTCCATTCCCTCTGAAATAAAGGCGGACTTTTGTTGTCTTTAAAAACTTTTCCCAATCCTCTGACTTAGAACAATCTTTGCCACATTGTACATTTCCTTTCAATTTGGTACTATCCTTAACATCCCTGGTTAGGTTTTATCCCCTTGCTTGAATCATTCTTCCTCACTGGAACATATCTTTATTGTGAGCCACAAACTGTCTTCCTAAATATCTCCTGTTGCTCCTCACCGGTCTTTGCTGCTAGACTCCTTCCCCCTAACTTCCCTCTCCCCCCTCACACCTCTTCCCCAGCTCCTCTGCCCTGCACTTCTCCCCCTTGCCTTTCCCACCCACCCCTCCCCACCTCACTGCCGCTCCCCACCTTGCCCTTGCCACCCTCCTCGCCCTTCTCTCCCCTCGCCCTTCTCTCCCTGTACCTTCTTTCCCTCTTCCCCTTTGCCCCTCCCTCCCCCTCACCTCTATCTCCTTCACCATCCTCTGCCCGCTCCGCGCACACCCCCCTCTCCCCTCACCTCACGCCTCCCTCCCTCCCTGTTGTAACATGACTCTGTGTCCCCCTCTCTCGGCCCTGTCACTGGGCTGTGTGAGATTTGATGCCCAGTTTCCAGGCTCTGACTCTAAACATTGCTCCGCCAGGCAGACGATGGTCCCCTGAGGCGTCTGGGCCACTCAATGGTGGAAGGCCCAAGCTCCACCCTCTGGATCTACGGAGGCCTGTCCCTTAGGAACGGGATTTTGAACAGTGTTTACAAGTAAGTGGTAGCTCCCGGTTATTGGAATTGGAGACCCTCTTGTGAGGGACTCATATCACAAACTTCATTGGTTCGTTGCTCCTGTACTGGTGGCCATTTGCACTATATCCCTGCCCCCTCTGCCCTGGCGGCCATTTGCAGTGTGTCCCTGCCCCACCCCTCTGCCCTGGCGGCCATTTGCAGTGTGTCCCTGCTCCCCCTGCCCTGGCGGCCATTTGCAGTGTGTCCCTGCTCCCTCTGCCCTGGCGGCCATTTGCAGGGTGTCGCTGCTCCCCCTGCCCTGGCGGCCATTTGCAGTGTGTCGCTG